CCCCCCCCCTAAAAAAAAAGCGCTTACTAAGTATATCTAAGGCCAAAAACTTGGACAACATCAAAGAAAAAATATATGAAATCCTTGCTAAAAATAGGGAAAACAATATAACTGACACGCACCCTTGACTGACTGAAAGATCACTCCCCCAGGCCCCAAGAGAGAATGAATCGGCAACTAAATCTTTAACCAAGAGCCGGCTTAAAAAATATGTTATTTTATTAGTAAGGCATTCTAATTAGTAAATAAAATGCAAAGCTTCAAACAAATCACTAAGCAATGCCCAGTAGATCGAAATCATTATCAGTTAGTTTATGGGAGCATGAAATGTATTGGAATGAAAGATTGCTGAATCATACAAAAAGAAAACAAAAAAACAGGTGCGAAAGAAAATATAACACATTTACATGTCAGGTCAATGAAGTTGTTTAGTTCCTGTTTTCTGCCTGTTTTTGTGGTAGAAAAAGCAGCTAACAAAAATAGGGAAGATTTTGGATGATAAAACTGAGTAAACTTTTTCATCAAGTAGTGGCCTGTAGATCAAAAGTATTAGATCTAAAATTAGGGGATTATGCAGAGCAAATGCTCTAATATATGGAGTGTATTTGGCTAGAAAAGTAAAGATATCAGACATGAATAAATATTTTGTTTTATTAATGCTTCTTATTTCATTGAGATCAAAGAGAATGAGAGAAAGGAAAAAGAAGAGTTGAAATTGAAAATAGTTATGAGAAAAAAACAAGATGCAAAACACTTTCAATCGGTTGATATGTTTAGAATTTCACTTAAACAAAACTTGTAATCACTATTTTTTCTATACTTGCCAATGTCCTGATAAAAAATGTGCAATTCGTTGACCCATTTACATTTTATCATGTATGTCAAAATTATCAACCTACCTAGAACGTGAACAATTCATTGAGGCCAAATTTTAAACTTTAATAACTTCATGCTCTCTGCTGTTATTTGGTTCGTCTAAGGCCTTCTTTTTTTCTTTCTCAAGGCTTCACATTCCACTTCTTTGACCATACATCTTATTAGTTGGTTTAATTTGTAACAATACAAAGGAGATTAACGTCACAAACAGAAAAGGAAGATAAGAAAAAATTTTCCCATACAATTTGAGTTTCAGAAAGAATATTATTAATTGCAGCTAGAATTATGAGTTATTTTCTTTACTAATTATCTATGATCTCACCATTAGGGTACTTGAATTGTTTTAATTATATTTGCGCCACAAAATTAAGAAGGCGTGGAAGCAAGTACAAAAGGTAAGCATTAAAAAAGAAGAAACTGTGCAGTTTGAATAACATGTGAATAAGACCAAAAATTTTGCTTAAAATAAGAGAATATGATTTGCATTAAGAAGTTATAATCTATATTGCAATTGCCTTTAGTTTATTACATGGCCTTTTTTGTGCCGATTTTATATTAAAAACAATAAGAATCATCATACAGAAAATAAACTTTCATTTAAACTTAAAGAAGCAAAAGTAGTTGAAAAATATGTGTATTTGATGCAAATGAACATTATTAGTTCTAGCACCCACTAACATAGTGCCTCCAAACTTTATCAAGCAAAGATTTTTGCCATTTATGTCAATCTATTTCCACATCATTACAATTACCCAATTAAAAAATTATAATATTCAAATTAATAAGTAATTTTAATAGAATTACCTTCACTTCTACAATATTAAGAACAATTACCAATTCATGCTAGTATGAAGTATTCAACTGATTTTATATGTTTCATCATTACTTTTTCCATCAAATATTCTAATCTTCTTAGAGAACTAGTCTTAACATTTTTTTTTTGAAAAAAATAAAAAAAAAATTGAAATCTTCAAGATGAATAATTCACACATGACACTTTATTAAAAAAAAAAAAAACTTTCCAAATCCTTTGCCGTTGCCCGTATGATTTTAGATATTTCTTAGATGCATAAATTATTATTAATACTAAGTTCTAAGTAATTTAAATTCAAAATATTTTTCTCACACCATATGAAAATATAAAATAAAATGTAAAAAATATATATTAATAATAAAATTAAATTAAAATATTAAATTATAGTAAGTTTGAAAATTTATACGAATTTAAAAAATTATCATAAATTTCAAATTTTGTGAGCTTAATGCAACTGCAATTTTACTGGCACATGTAAAGAGCCCAACCAACAAACTACAAGCACCCCATACGGTATCCATTCATAGTAATTGACAAATGAATCAATTTTAGGCTCAAAGCTTCATCTTTTTCTTCATCCCTCTCTCTCTCTCAACAAAAGGCGCAAAATTCTAACTGAGTGATCTAAATAAACCAGTATAAACAAAATAATTCAAAGTCTGCCCCGCAAGAAATTGCCTTCTATCGCAATTAAAACTTTCCTATTTCATAATGGACAAAGAAGAAGAACAGAAGTAAACCTCCGGTGGCAGAAGGTGGCAAGTTGGACAGCCCGAGTACCTGTAGTCGCGTCTTGATCACATCCAGGGGACAAACAAACGTGGCCGCGATGATCCCTGACAAACCACACAAAGAATTCATCCACTAAACAATGGGGAATCAAAAACACGAATCCATCTCTTCTTAAACAAGCCCAAAACCCTAAACTCAGCCCACTTACCTGCAGAGGCTCCGGCACAGGCATTGTTCAGAAGCTCCTGAGTGCTCGGACTGAAGGAGTCTTCAGACATGCTGTGATCTCTGCCTCAACGGGAAGAGATCTCGAGCCCCCGAGACGCCTTCTTTAGGGTTTGCTGGCGAAGCCGGCGAAGCAGAAGCTCCTGAGTGCTCGGACTGAAGGAGTCTTCCGACATGCTGTGATCTCTGCCTCAACTGGAAGAGATCTCGAGCCCCCGAGCCGCCTTCTTTAGGGTTTGCTGGCGAAGCCGGCGAAGAAGGACTCGCATGGCGAGTTTCGCCAAAGTCGGATCACTAACACACTGCTTAGGGGAAGTTTACTCCGAAGAAGATTTTGAGTTCTTTTCTTGTATTATATTTGTTAGCTGAGCCAAGTTGGCAAATGGCGAGGCCTTTCCACATGAACTATGCAGGAATGAATAAATAAATAAATAAATAAATAAATAAATAAATAAATAGCACATAATTATTTATTTATTTACATGTCTCACACCTAAATTTTTATATTTATATAATATTTACAAGTTATACGTAAATATATGAATTTTATTTTTAAAAAATAATAATATTATTACTTTCGATGTGAAATGATTGATTTAAATGGTATATGTGTAAATATAAAAAATTTAGTGTGAGCTATATAAATTTGAAGTGTGTTATGCGTGTAAATTTCAAACTCAAAATAATTTTTATTTTCAAAAATTTCATATAAAGTTTTATGAAGATATTTACATAGACTACAACCAATTATGCATTTTTATATCTACTACTTAAACATTGATTTTATATTTATACTACTAAAATCATTATATTATATCAGAAATACTATCTAAATTTTTAAAATATGAAATACACGCATTCAAGAATCAATATATATATATATATATATATATATATATATATTTTTTTATATAAAAATATATTACATATATTATTTATATAGCAATATTTGTTATGAATTTTAGTTCTGCACGCAATTCTCTTAAAGCAAAATGTTTTTTTATTTATAAATTTATGTAAATAAATATTAAAATTTAAATGTTAGATATATAAATAAATAAGATTGTATGCATGAAAATAAAATTTTCTCTGATTTATATAATTGTATAAATTTATATCCAATTTTCAGAATATCGATTTAACTTGATCGAATGGAGACTTGACCTAAGGAGCGCATCTTTATCCGACGTTCCATACAGAGTCGGGGCTGAAAACCTAGTTGCCGGACTTCGCCGGAAAATCGAAGGCGGTACGTGGGAAAAGATGCTAAGAGACGAAGACGAAGATGCGCCGGAGGAGCTCACTTCGGAGCAAGTTCGTAAAATAAATCATTTTCAACTAATAATGCAAAGAAAATAGGGGTTCTATGCTTATCGATCTTCTTTATTCATCTTTTGCTGCTAGGTCTTATAATGTAACTATTTGATGCTGTCTTTTGTATTCTCATGTTCAACGTCGCTTGTTTGCAGGGCTTAAAGCAAGATGAACAAATAAGAAAAATTCTGAGAGAGAATAAGATAAGGTAATTGATTCCCGCTTTGTTTTTGGGCGCGCATTTATATCATATAGCTTTGAAAGTTTCAATTGTTACTTATTTGGATTATAGAGTTGTTAATGGCTGTTTGGAAACTGCAAGTTGAATAATATTGTGGGCGTCGCTATTAGACCTAACTAGGGTTGCTTCATCCTAGCCATTGGATTAAAAAAATGATTGCATTGTCTTCTTCGATGTCCGGTCAAGTGGTCCCACGAGCAAAGAGGATATTTGGGTGATATTGAAATTGATTTGTTGTCTGATTTACTAGGGAGAGCTTTGGAACTGATCAGACCATTATTGAATTCCCATGTAATGCTTCATTCTTCATTCTATAATGAATTTTAGGTTCCTTTTATATAAATACATCCTGCTAAGGAATTTAGCCAAGTCAACCCACCTTCTAAGACCATAACTTTATTAAGACTATATTCCAACTTAAAGATTCTGCAGATTTAACATTTGATGCTTTAGTTGAGATCAATATAGGATATGAGAGTACAACAAGGGATTTGTGTGAGTGCTTGACTTGTTTACACAAGTGATTTTCCGCCTCGTTAACTATGACCATGGTTTTGGAGTTCATCATCATTGAATAATTCCAATGGTTGTAGGATGGTCTAAAAGAACTTTTTTTTTGTGACTAATTACCTAGCTGATTACTAGGTTAGATGGTGATATATTGTGGATCCTTGAGTCGTGTCAAATTATGAGGACGAATGTTTGTCCTTTTAAGGCTTTTATGAACTATTGTGAATGGAAGTCAGAACGGATAAAAGTAGCATGGATATTTTTTGGAGCATAAAAAGGCCAACTTGCCTCGTATGCATTTATCTCAAAGACAACATGGAGGAGCCACATCTTCTGAACTTTGATGTTGTCGAACTCAATCATGACAAGGAACCTTCAATTATATTGATAAAAAAGAGGGATTTGTTCATTCACTTGGCTTCAACTGCAATCTTATTCGAACTTCTTCAGATAACACTCAAAATTGAAGCTTGAAAGCATTGCATTTTGTGATGATTGTAAATACTAAAATGTGTGATACATTATCAACTCGCACAAGCCTCTCAATTGCTTTAAGAGCTTGCTCAAGTTGTGACAGCTTGAGCATGATCACTTTAAATTTAACATTATACATTTTAGAAAGTAATGTTGTATGTGAATTGCAGTCTTATGTATTAGAGAGGAAATTCAACATGAATGCCAATGGAGAATACTTTATATTGCACTAAAGAATGACGGCCTTCTAGGTCACGCATATCATAAAACTTATTTGCAATTAATATCGTGATCATGGCCACGGTATGATCATTGAAAGACTTAATGGGTAGAGTCGTTTGAGAGACTGAACATTCTAAGGAGATGTAAAAGTAGGCAAGGTCAAGACAACTAAAGTTGAATTTGTTTCAGCTATGGTTGTGGAAGAGATCAATTCAGAACTTGATGTTAAAAATCTGTTGAAAAACACAATTCTAAAAGTGTTGTCTGCTGAGTAATGACTGTAATGCCTCTCAATATATAAACACAGTTCTGTTTGGAAAACACAGTTCTAAAATTGCTGCATGTGGAATCAATACAATGTCAATTTATCAAGTTATTATCACTGACAAGTCCATAAGAGAATTCAAGTAGAAGCACTAACAAAAAATAATGCCCTCAAAATAATCATACAAACATACATTCAACATAAGTTGTATCTTAGCTAAAAAGACGATTTTGCTTACCAAAAAAATTTAAAGTAGCAGTACAGTTTGTCCTCTAAAATACATAAACATCATCAAAACATATAAAACGTTAGTAACAGTAAAAGCAATGCTACGATGACATCAAACAAAAATAAGACATTCACAAGAAGTTTCAAGTTCTTCAGATCATTCTTTTCTGTATCATCAAATTCATTTATTATTTCATCACCTCGCTCTTGTATTGCATCTCTCAGTTCATTAACTCAGTAAAAAAAATCTGCTATCTTTTTTTGTTAAATTTTTGGGACATATGTAGAACTTTTTGCCTACATTATCACCTTTGTTGCCGTGAATACAACGCACAACAGGTTGCAATCACAAAAGACTAGTCAATGTTTGCTCCCCTTTGAGTTTGTCCAATTGCTTGAGCTCATTTTTGATAAAATAATTCTGCAATAAAATTTAACATGAATTGAAGGAATATGAGCTTAGAAAATTTTGGAAATGATTCATGCGATTCCGAAAATAGAAGATGATTCATAAAATACAAATTTAACTCTAATACAACTTTGCACATCAAACACAGATCGAAAAATAATAAAAAGTGATATGTGTTTGTAGCACGAATAGCAACATACGAATGATATAAATTTAAGCATAAGCTTGTTGCCTATATGAAAGCAGTTCCCAAACAAATAATAAAATCTTTAACATTCTAAAGACCTATACAGATTTTAATAATATTGCCCATATGAAACTAATTCGTAAACCTTCTAATGACTCATTCGTCGAAGCATTAGCAAAAAAACATGATACTCCTTTTCTCATCCAAGCATTGTCAAAATCATTCATGTGATCAGCATGCAGATGTACAATTGGTTCTTAAATTCTTCATGAGGTGATGATGTAGAATTGACATGCATATCATATAGTTTCTATCTATTTACATACATACCACCGTATTCGTTCTCATGTGGAAGGTAAAGGAGAAAGGGATGCAGGTTTTGTATTTAAAAGCGGCATTTTACATACATACCACCAATTAAGGAATAGAAAGACTATGGCTACGTATATTAAAGAAGTTTAAAATAGTATTATTCATCACCAAAAAAATCTTCCCAGCCATCTCATATGGCTGCTCTATATAACACCAAAAGTATTTCAGCCAGCCATTAAGCATTTTAGAAAGGCCATATTCCCAACCATTTTGGCTTGCACTTTACCACTGCTAGTATATAACAACCAAAGTAGAAGCAAAGTGGGGAAGGAAAAAACAACAGGCAATATAACAGACCATTTATAGCAGCCACGTATATTACATGCACGCCACTGAATTCCCATCACAGGAGAAATATTTTCACTACTAGCTAATCCATCTTCTGCATTTTCAGTAAAGGATCGCATGTGGTAGATATGTACATACCATCCAATTCCTATTGATCAGTATCCATAGATTCCACCATATACATACCACCATATACATACCATATGCATACCGCCATATACAGACCACCGAATTCCATTTCCACGGAACATTATCCTTAGATTTCAGTGGCAATGGCAACACTGGTTATCTAAGTATAACTCGGTCATCCAAAGATGCCGTAAAGTCACCATTGGAAGCATATTGATATAAATACGGGTATTTTTTAGGTGATATGAATGATTTGGGTGGTATAAATACATAAAAATTAGCTTAACAAGCCTACAAATTATACCTAGAGTTCCTCAAAACCAAGCACATGGCATTAGATGCAACAATTGAGACTGAGAGCACTTGACGAGAGCCCAATCGTTGATCATCCACGAGGAATTTAATTTGGACAGGCAATGGCTTATTAATCAAGCAATGTTAAGAGTATATTGAGTGAAGCCCACAGTAATAGTATTATAACCAAAAAAGGTATTCAATCTGCTGTTCTCAATTGGTTCACACATAACATAATACTTCATGTCCATAATTAAAGGTGCCGCAACATGACCATTCATATGGATATAAAAACTGACATATCTACCCACTCCAGTAAAGCTTGGAAATGCCGCATCCACTAAAAAATTAAAGCATTCACTAATAGAAAAAACAAATTGTCCCAATTTATCCATCACTTTTAAAAACAATGAAATGTGTCACAACATCACCATTGACAACTATGTAAATGCAAAAGCTTGGACATGCCACACCATCACCATTGAAAAATATACAAATGCAAAAGATCGATAAAGACACAACATCACCATGCTAGAGCTTGCCACACAATTCTTATGCATTTACACAGTTCTTATCCGAACCAAAAGCACACGATTCTTATGCATTTACAATTCTCAATGCAACTGTTCGACGTCTTGTATGATGTTTCACAACTACAAATTTTAAAAAAACTATAAAATTAGAAAACTGTCAGGAAGATAACTAATTTCTACTTAATAATTTTAATTCAGATTTCTGACCTCACATTTTCAACCATGTCATCAATAATGACAAGAAAATTTATTTGCAAACTCATATGGTTAAACCACATTCCTACAGGTTTTGGTTGTTGAACTATACTTTCAAATGATATTAAATACATGATTATATTTACTAAAGATGTAGGAATTAAAATCTGTAGAAATTTGAATACTCCCAAATGTTTGATTTGGTGTTTGTGATTTCTTTAGCAAATGTAGCATTCCTTTTTCCTCAAGCGATCCTACATCCTGATTCGATCAAATTTATCTAAAGAAGAACCAAAACCACTGAAATGCCACACAATTCTTATCCGAACAAAAACCACACTATTCTTATGCATTTACATATCTAACACCCAAGTTTGATATTCAACTCTAGAAAAAAGAATAATGGCCACTCTAAAACCATGAATAGTCAAGTGCAAAATATTTTCCTCAAAAACAAATGGTACAAAAAATGCATAGAAAAACACAAAGGCACTGAAATTATGAAGGAATGGAAACAAATTGGTTTGTGCATTCCACCAGAGGCATAATCAATTAAAAATAGCAAAACATTTCCTGCAGCGAGATTGAATTACAACATAAAACATCAATTGTTAACTAAAGAATCTTTGATTACTTTACATAATTTTGCCATCTCTTCGGCACCTTCACCATCTCCTACGGTTTGACTGACTACCCGTTTGTTGTCCTTAATTGTTCGACCCATTCAATATTCATATGCTTTAGGTAGTACTGATTCATTTTCGTTAACACTTGCGCAATCAATATCATATTGTTAATGATGACAACGAATGTAATTGTGGAGGGTTATTGTTGTGACAACAATTTGAACTTGTTTTTCGA